GTATCAGTGCTGTGATTACCGTAAAAGTCCTTTTCCAGGGAGAGGGGGTGGGAATCACTTGAGCACTAAGAGTAATCAATTTATTCCATTTTCCTGCTGGCATTTCAAAAAACCGCAGGCCATGTAACAGCATCAGCTCAGCCACAATTAGGAACACAGTAGAAAGCATCTTATCTCGTAGAGCAAGCAATAGAGCGAGTCCTGGCTGTGAACAAAACCAAGTGCTTCCAAAGGTGGTGCACTGGGAATTTCAGTAACCTGCCTGCAGAGAAGTTTTTCCTGGCTCCATCAGCTAAGGGTTCATCTCCATCTTAAAGCTGCTAGGTCCAAAGCCCAAAAGAACATCACTGAGCTCATACCCCTCAGAAATCTGTTGACCAGTGAACACTGCCCATAGCCACACAAGGCTGGTACTCTACAGGGAAAAAAAAAAGCATGTGTGATCAGGGCAACCACAATGACACAGGCCAGGAAAAGAGGCTTCGGTCTTTCTTCCCCATGACGATCTCAGAGAGCTGAGCCACCCAGCTGCCGGCTGTGTCCTCAGACAGCATGGCTGTTTCAGAGTCCGCTCTAAAACAAACTGCAGTGTAAACAGGAAGCAGAGCTGACAGCAGACGTGCTGCAGATGGCTGCAGATCCTGCAGAGGGAACGGCAGTGACCCACCGTCCTCCCAAAGACCAAGGAACCAGCCTGATCTTCAGCACACCAGTCACCGCTCAGCTCTTCGGATGCTATTCTGCAGGCAGGGGAGATGCACAGATTTTCCACCAAGAGGCACCTCAAAAACATCCAACATGGAGAGACAACGGTGCTCCAGAAGCTGAGACCATAGAACTGTTCACAGGGCTTCCTGCTAGGGAATTCTGGATATTTCCGAACACCACCCTGCCTTTGGTGTGTCCCCACCACTCCCTACATACAGGTTTAAGGAGTTCTTACTCCAAAACATACTTTTTGCTGTAGAGCGTCTACTATAATTAGTTCCCACAACTAACTATGTTGCCTATATTTTTGTCTCCTGTGCTACGCCACCAGCCTTAAAAGTATACAAAATTACAGACCTAGCAGGGTAAGAATTAAACTAATGCTTACAACTCTGTGCCTCTAAGGAAGTGGCCAGCAAGAGAAGGAGGCAACCATATGGTCTCCATCCTAGGAAAAGGAAAGAAAATGGCACAAAAAGAAGGCAGGAGAAATGTCAGACTTCCCCTTTCCTGCTGTCCTGCTGATGGCCTGCCTATCAGAAAGTTAAACCACATTTTGACAAAGCAAATTAGGGAAATGAGGCAGCTTCAACACCTTTGCGAACACCAGAAAAATACTACTTGTGCCAAAGGTAGATCTTTAAATACAAGAGACTCCTAAGGAAATATCCAAGAAAACGCTTCTCAAAAATTAACAGTGAAGGAATATTTGACAATCACACATTCATAGCAGCTAGAAGAGCCACATATTTCTAATGCTTGGCAGAAGAGTCAGAACAGTAAAAGAAATCTCCCCGCACTCTTCCCTGCCTGTTCACTAGCGGCCTGTGCTGCCACCGGGATACTGCGTTCATCAGACCTTCGGCCGGGTCTCGGGTGGCCTTCCCTGTGCTCCTGTAATAGGTTTTCCACTTTGGAAAGATTTCTTTATGATCTTCAAAACTGGGAAACAGTGAACGCATTAAATTCAAATCTAAGTATAGAGACCTCAGTGTCAAAGCCTGCACAGTGAAGATAAGTAACCACCATCGTATGCCATCCATTTGAGCTTTGAGTCAGTGCAGAGTAATTCCTACTAACGTGCTTCACCCAGGCTAACTATAAAGTATATCCAACACTTCCATGAATTCTCATAAAAGAGTCAAAGTGATTAACGTAACCACAAGTACAAAATACCGACAAAACTGGAAACCAAAAAAGAAAACATTACCTGTAAGCAAACATAACAATCTGAAACAAAACTGTGTTCAGTAAAAAAACATTTTGAAAAGACGCTGATTTGTTTTTTAACAGCAAGATTCAAACTGTGAGTTTTGAGTCTTTGTTTAACACACACGCACACACAAAAAGCAAGGCTTTGAGTAGTCTTTCCTCGTACCTACCCTGGGATTCTCTGGAAACATAGCAACCATCTAGGATGTGTCGAAAGTTTCTCTATATTACGTTTGAGCATTTGGTTTAAGTTTACTTCCGAGTTTATTGGCTGGGTAAAGTTTCAGAGCTTTCTTAATAAAATACAGCTTAAGCATTGCAACTTTACAGTCTGGGGAAGAGACACGGCCGAGATTTTTTTTTTTTCTTTTAGAAAACTGTGTAAGCTGTGCTTCCTAGAACAAACCGAAGCGGAGCTCGCCGAGCGAGCTACATCCCGGGTAACGACAAAGTAAACCCAGCCGGGGTCCCGCGGGGATGCCCCGTCCCCGGATAGCGCCAGGGACACCCGCCGCGGAGGCACTTTCCCTTCCAGCCCCCCGCTCCCCCGG